TCCTGGGCACCAAGAACATAGGGAACCCTCCCCGCACCCTATAGATGCAAACACAGCTAAAGTATTGTACATGAATTTTTTTGTGAAGTATTTTGTACTGAAAATATGCATGGCATGCGTTAACTGCGAATTGAAAGATCCAATACATTAGTTACAAATTTAAAAAATGTTGTATGTGTTTCAGGTACAAACACTACATAAAGTTCTCTTCTTCTTCATCGGGATTCGGTCTATGTTTTTGGACCAGGGAGGGTCAGATTCAGCGTAGACCTCTTCTTCCCTCTCAGGAATTGTTATTTTGATTGCACTGTTACTGAATCCTAGATAATAATCCTTGTTACATTGTTGTTGCATTACTCACCGTATGTTAAATTTTGTTCGTTGTCCGCATTTTTAATTAACGTCCAATTCATGGGGTAATATTAACTCGTATATTTTCACTAGCTTCACTTATGTATGATCGCACAATACACAACTTATGTTCACAATGCAGTTCCATTTAGCAGTCATACACACACAGACATAATCCTATTTTTTATATAAAAATCCCTTTTAAAATAGAGCTACGTTTGTGTCTAGGATTCAGTTAGCCTAGCACTGTTTGGCCTGTAAGATTCTTATTTATGATGTTTAGTACTCAGGGCTTGGTTCAACATGTATTATGTAACTCTCTAGTTTGCTCATCAGTTCATTTTTATTAATATTTTTCTTATAATATTGAAGTGAGTTATCCAGGAGTCTGTCTGATAGAGTTGGCGTGTTTGAAATTCTGAATTTGTTGATCGTGGGACTCTATATGCTTTCGTTAAAATATAGTTTTGTATTTACTGTAATTTGTTGATGGTTTTTTTTATATACATTTATCCATGTTATACAGGCATATTCTACGATTGGTATTATGTAAGTTCTGTAAATTTTTAATATGTTTTCTGGTGAAGCTCCTTGTTTGTCAGGCTCCTAAGGTAACTCGCTCTTTTCCGAATTCTGTGTGGTATCCAGTTTAATTTTGAGTCAAATATAATACCTAATAATTTTACTGATGTTGTTATCTGTAAGGGAGTCCCGTGTAGATATAACTGTGGTATTAATATGCTTGTTTTGTACGATTTTGTAAATAATATGATTTGTGTTTTGTGCGCATTTATTTTAATTCTGCACTTATTGCTGTACAATTCTGTTTCGTTTAGTAGTGGTTGTATATTGTATGTTGCCGTTGTTGGGTTTGGGACATTCTTCCAGATTACAACATCATCTGCGAACTGTGAGCCAAAAGTGTGGTTTGGGTCTTTGAGAGGCATGTTGCTGACATACATGATAAACAGTGTAAAGCTAAGTAGTCCTCCTTGAGGGACACCCGCCTCCGGAGTGTAGCACTCGGAGTAGGTGCCCTCAACATTCACTCTTATGCTCCTATCGTCCAGGAAGTTAGAAACCCAGCGAATAATTTGTATGGGGAGTCCCAATTTGGACGGTTTGTATCTGAGTCCGTTGTGCCATAGCTTATCGAATGCTTTTTCAACATCTAGGAAGCATGCGACTGTACACTGTTTTTTATTAAAGCCGTGTATAATTTCTTCCGTGCTCCCCAGTGGCACAGCTGTATGTCTGCGGACTTACAACGCTATAATCCGGGTTTCGATTCCGTGGTGGGCAGAGCACAGATAGCCCATTGTGTAGCTATGTGCTTAACTTCAAACAAACAAATTTCTTGCGTTAATCTTATGAGATGATCTGTTGTTTGTCTTGCTTTTCGGAACCCATTTTGTATTTCCGGGAGTATTGATTTAGTTTCAAGGTAATTTATGAGTCTACTATTTATCATTTTTCCTAGACTGCTTGGAAGAATTATGGGTCTGTAATTTTCAGGGTTATTCGCTGGTTTCCCTTCCTTCAGGAACATAAGAACATCACTACATAAAGTTTTGTTTTCTTCACAATTCCCGCCATTAACGCGTCTTCCCAATATATAACATAAAGTGGAGATATACACATTTTCATAAAATAATAGTGTTATTTTCTAGCTTCATTAAATACTTCAGATAAAAGAAATGTTGAATACACTTGCTCCCCATTTTCTCTTTCATCAAAAATAGAAATAAAACGGCAGTTGATCACTACTATACGAGATATTTTCTTTTGCAAGTTGAGCCAGTGTTGCAAAACTAGTAAATACGCAGTAATTAGTGAGATTTTTAAGCCTAAGACCTAATTCTTATTTTGCCTGTTTTGAAAATCCGACTGTTGGTTATAAAGAGTAACCTGAAACTAAAATGAACAACAATACACTAATACTGAGGGTGTTTGAAATCATTTTCAGAATGGAAAAACTCCTACTACAGCACGTACACGTTTGTTATTTGAATAATAAACAAAGCGTTGCATAAGAGTTGCAAGTGATCAGTAAATAGTTTAAGACTTTCTAAAAATCACAAAGTATTTCTTAATAAAAAAATACTTACACTTGGTGCTTACAACAGAGGGAAATGGGAAATCCATTTCCGACAAAATGAACAACTTTTTGCTGCTCCGTGACACAAATATAGAGTGTATTGAACTGTGAGGTGTAACTCACACAACGAGTATACGCATCTTACGCAAATCGCACAAAAAATTAAGATCGATAGGTAGACTATGTTTCTAAAAATTTAAAGTGCAATTTTCGAAATGGGTGCCTGAATTTTGAGGGGGCATAAAGGGTAGCCGATAAAATTAAAAGAGGCACGTCCCCTCACTCCCTAAGGTTGTTGAGCCCATGTTCCCTGCCCCATTAGACTAAAAACTCGTAGGAAAACTCACGAAGAAATACATTCACAAAATGTTTATACACTACATAATAATAAAGCAAGTAATGTCACAATATAAAATGTTTATACACTACATAAAAATAATGCAAGTAATGCCACAATATAAAATGTTGCCCCCCAGTGGCACAGCGGTATGTCTGCGGACTTACAACGCTAGAAACCGGGTTTCGATACCCGTGGTGGGCAGAGCACAGATAGCCCTTGTGTAGCTTTGTGCATAATTACAAACAAACAATATAAAATTTTTATACACTACATAATAATAATAAAGCAAGTAATGGCACAATATAAGATGTTTATATACTACATAATAATAATAAAGCAAGTAATGGCACAATATAAAATGTTTATACACTACATAATAATAATAAAGCAAGTAATGTCACAATATAAAATGTTTATACACTACATAATAATAAAGCAAGTAATGTCACAATATAAAATGTTTATACACTACATAATAATAAAACAAGTAATGTCACAATATAAAATGTTTATACACTACATAATAATAAAACAAGTAATGTCACA